AAATTATTATTGCCTGTGTCTGCTATGTTTAGGTACCCATTATAAATTAGTAACATCGGTGTAAAATGAACACGAAAAATTAGAAAAATAGCTCGGCCTAATGGTCCAGTCACCCGTCTTACTTACCAGTTCCGAGGAGGTTAAAATAGCAGTTGGAAAAAGAAAGAAATTTTATCCGGTAATTTTCCGGAACACGCGGCACCGTGCAGCGGTGTACGGTCCTGACCTACATCGACGCGAAGTCGGTTGTAGAGACGCGGCGGTCGGGGCGTTCGATTCCACTCTCGGTTACGCTCTCTCGGCAGATATTTGCCGCGCAATGCCGGTGGAAGGCCTCAAGGTCACGGATTGGTAGCCACCTAATCCAAATTCGACTAGAGCGGCGCGCGCGATTATCGAAGGTGGACCCGGTTCTAGGAAGGCTGCCCAATAGAACGTGTCCAGTCGGCGCAGACGCACTGGCTGCTCTCCTTCTTCGCGCGACCCCCGCCGAATCAAATCTACTTGCGGCGCTAGTATGCGCGCGCACCTCTCTCGCTCCGCCGTCCCAGCTGCCTATTGGTCTCACCGAATCGTCCCGCTCTCGCTGCTTTCCGGCAGATACGAGATCAACTAATCCGTACTCCGACAATTTGCTTTTCCATCCCTCTGTCACCGTTCGCCATTTTCTCTTCCGCCAATCTACCGTTCGATGTAACCGTCATCCAGGTTTCAAATTTCGCGCCCAATTTCCGTTTACCGTTTCGTTTTGTTGATTAGGGAGACGCGCGAGGAAATTGTTTAGATTAAATGTGAGTTCTGGGAGTGGAGATTGGATGCTACGTTTTTGTAGGTTAGGTTGGTTATTTGGAACTCTGTTTTGGGAAAATAGGGTTATGTTTGGTATATACTAATACGATAGATAACTGCTTTGGTTAGGTCCTTGTTTACGAGGTTCGTAGAGGTTGTTTGGGTTAGATGTTCGATGTTGTAGGATGATGTATAGATATTTAAATAGCATGTTCCAATTCGTGTTTATTTGCATTTATTAAATTGGAAGTGTATAATAATGGGAGTTGAGGAATGGATAAAAGTGAAATCTCTGAAGTTACAACTATTATTGTTGAATTAATTGAAATATTTGATGAGTGTATCGTATCGAATAGCGTATTTCTTATTGATTCTTGTAAATTGTAATATTGGATAAGATATATTTATTATAATACTATTTCATTAACAGTCGTTTGAAACTGAAATTTTTTATGAAAACAAATTTTTAAAAGTACATATTGCGCAAGATTCTTTCTTAATGAGTAATTCTTAATTAATTAATTATTTTTAAGGCGACACAGGATGTATGTAGATAATAATATAATATATAGAAATAGATATCTATATAATGAAGTTTCAAATCAGTTTCAAATTTTCAATTCAGTGTTTCGATTCTTTCTGACCTTTCGAATAGACATATACTGCTTTATTTGATATTCTATACATATGTATGTTATATATTTTCCATATTTTCTATATATATAAAATAAAAAATAGAATTAAGCGAAATTGATATATATAATTATAAAATATAATGTATAAATATAATTAAAAATATATAATTAACTTTAATATCAATTTCGCTTAATTCTATTTTTTTTATAATTTTCACTATCATATAACTTTCATTTAACGCTAGAACTATCGATCGTGATACGTGATACGATATGTGATACGTTCATAAAGAAAATATACATAAATAATAGTAATTAAAATATAGTAAAAATAATAAAAATTAGCATGTATAATTACTTTCTTGTCTAAATTGAAATCAATATTTCAGAAGTTACGTACTTGCAAATAACTGAAAAAATAAAAAGCTGAAAGTATACAAAATTTTCACCATAATAAAAACCTACAATTCCTTAATAAAATATTTTCAAACCAAAATTTACAAAAAATTCAAAAAACCTACATTTCAATCACCCACTATATACTCACCCCTAATCATCTCTACCCCCTTCTAAAAATCCAAAACCTACAAAATACATGCACATACAAATGAACGGCTCATATTTATCAAATTCACGAACTTTACGATACAAAAATAGAAAATTGATTTCGAAAATAAGGAATTAAATATAATTAAAGCATTTTGTTATTTCAATACTCAGTATGTACTTAGTAATCACTTTAGTTTGGTATTTCATTAGTTGTTATGTATTTCATATTGCACCGATTATTATGAAAGTGGTCTAAGTTATATATAGTTATATATTTTGATTTGAAATATTAAAAATTTCGTGCTTCGGATATACACCATAGATCAAAGGAAGTAATCAAGATAGGGAAATTTTGCTGCTTTGTAAAGGACGAATAAGACACGAAACAACTGGAATTATAAATAAAATTATAAAAATGAAATCGTACCTTTCGAATTTTTTGGAAAGATACTCAACCCATCATCATTCGAACTCCAAAAAATCCATCGATTTTTAGTTTCTAATACTCCTTTTCAGCTAAGCAACTAGGCCCTTTCGACCCTTAATTTTGAACATTTCTTTCCAACCAAGCATTTAGAAAAGCCTAATACGCAGAAAAAATGCTTCGACCCTTAATTTTGAATATTCCTTTGTAGCCACTCATCCAGAAGAACCTACCCGAAGCCTATCACCCGGAAAAATCCTTCGACTCTTAATTTCGAATATTCCTTTTTCACCGAAGCACCTAGAAGACCCTAACCTAAATCTAGCATTACGAAAAATCCTTCGACTCATAATTTCGAATATTCCTTTTTACCCAAGCACCCAGAAGAGCTCACCCCAAACCTATCACCCAGCAAAAATCATTCGACTTTTAACCCTTTGCGCTCGACGATTTTTTGGCTAAAGAAGGGTACGAGTTGACAAATTTTCTGCTATAAGGCTGATGATACCTTTTGAGCAGTAAATAAGAAATCGTATAATAATTAACACGCAGAATTATTTAATTTCGATACCTCACACACTGTTACATTATTTTAAATTCGATACATTAATTAATATCGAGCTTCGAAATTTTATCAAATGGCGACTGAAGGGCGCCCCTCGAGTGCAAAGGGTTAATTTCTTACGCTCCTTTCCAGCCAAGCACTCGGAAAAGATCCCACTTGTAATTTTAAATATTTTTTTCCAGCCAAACATCCAAATAAAATCGTTTGGCACTTAATTTTGAATATTCCTTTTTACCCAATGACTCAAAAGAACCTACCCCAAACCGATCACCCAGCAAAAATCCTTCGACTTTTAATTTCTTACGCTCTTTTCCAGTCAAGCACTTGGAAAAGATCTCACTTTTAGCTTTAAATATCCCTTTCCAGCCAAACACCCAAATAAAATCCTTTGACACTTAATTTTGGATGTTCCTTTCCATCCAAGCACCTAGAATACCCTAACCTAAATCCAGCATTACGATAAATCCTTCGACTCTTAATTTCGAATATTCCTTTCCATCCAAGCACCTAGAATACCCTAACCTAAATCTAGCATTACGAAAAATCATTCGACTCTTAATTTCGAATATTCCTTTTTGCCCAATGACTCAAAAGAACCTATCCCAAACCCATCACCCAGCAAAAATCTTTCGAGTTTTAATTTCTTATGCTCCTTTCCAGCCAAGCACTTGGAAAAGATCCCATTTTTAGCTTTAAATATCCCTTTGCAGCCAAACACCCAAATAAAATCCTTTGACACTTAATTTTGAATATTCCTTTCCAGCTAAGCACCTAGAAGACCCTAACCTAAATCTAGCATTACGAAAAATCTTTCGACTCTTAATTTCGAATATTCCTTTCCACCCAAGCATCTAGAAGACCCTAACCTAAATCTAGCATTACGAAAAATCCTTCGACTCTTAATTTCGAATATTCCTTTGCAGCCAAGCATCCAGAAGAACCTACCCCAAACCTATCACCTAGCAAAAATCCTTCGACTTTTAATTTCGAATATTCCTTTTTACCCAAGCATCTAGAATACCCTAACCTAAATCTAGCATTACGAAAAATCATTCGACTCTTAATTTCGAATATTCCGTTTTACCCAAGCATCTAGAAGACCCTAACCTAAATCTAGCATTACGAAAAATCCTTCGACTCTTAATTTCGAATATTCCTTTTTACCCAAGCATCTAGAAGACCCTAACCTAAATCTAGCATTACGAAAAATCCTTCGACTCTTAATTTCGAATATTCCATTTTACCCAATGACTCAAAAGAACCCACCCCAAACCTATCACCCAGCAAAAATCCTTCGACTTTTAATTTCTTATGCTCCTTTCCAGCCAAGCACTTGGCAAGGATCCCACTTTTAGCTTTAAATATCCCTTTGCAGCCAAACACCCAAATAAAATCCTTTGACACTTAATTTTGAATATTCCTTTCCATCCAAGCACCTAGAAGACCCTAACCTAAATCCAGCATTACGAAAAATCTTTCGACTCTTAATTTCGAATATTCCTTTTTACCCAATGACTCAAAAGAACCTACCCCAAACCTATCACCCAGCAAAAATCCTTCGACTTCTAATCTCTCACGCTCCTTTCCAGCCAAGCACTCGGAAAGCAATGCCGGTGCACCCCGGGAACGCCACGGCAGGACACCGGAGAACTCGATGCAACGGTCGACGCGCGTCTCCAGAAGCCGCTTCGGAAGCGGTGGCGCTCGCGCGCACGCAACCGAAAGAGGAAGGAAGATTCTCCTGCGCGACTGTCCTCGCGGGAGGGGATGAAGCGGTGCCCCCACCAGCGCGCTACTTCCCGTGGGCTAAAGTGAGTCGCGTGTGAGCCCGGTGGGCGTGGCCTCCAGGTAGCGGAGACGCGCAGGTGAGAAGAGAGAAACCCGAGCAGGTAAGCCAGCCGAGGCACGGGCAGACTGCGACGCGCGCTCCACGCGAGACCGTGCGTGTACCCTCCTCGGCCAGACCGGGGTCAGTCAGGGTCCTGCTGTTAGTCAGGACGCTCCGAGAGCATCTTCCTGAACACCGACCTACCCGTGATACTCTCGGTATCACTGCGACAGCTTGGTCTTCGCTCGATCCACGCTCTTCGTGACAGACATCGAGCAACGATCGCACGAAGCGACAGTTGGCACCTGAGAACAGTGGCAGAGACAGAGTGTTGCGAATCTAAAGAGTGGTTAGGAGAAGTGTTCCTCGGCTTCTCGATCCACGTCGATCAGACTGAACCGCCTTGGACGCGCGAACCGTGAACCAGACCGCGACCTTGGCCAACCACGTGGAGGATCACGAGAGGTCCAGTGAATGGGAAAAACTGTACGTGCTCTGGGACTGTCTGTGGGGTTGATACCGATTGTGCTGCGCGTTTGTGCGCGGATATTCGGGGATCTAGTGCCGGTACCGGGACCAAGGCTCGCGCTGTCCGCCTCCATGAACAATCGCAAGACTTAGGGGACTAATCGATCCACGAACTGGACGCAATGTGTGGTGAGTTCAGCACTCGTTCTTTTCATTTCTTCCTCTTTTTCCGGGTCTCGCGGAATGACGGCCTGGCGTGAAGTGTTTGCTAGCCTCGCAAGAGACATGTCTTAGATGATATTAGATGACACGGTGTGCTCGAGGAAACGAACTTCGTCTTTGGTTTTATCTGTTCTGTATAAGTCAACCTTGCGTTAGGTTTGACTATAGTATTTGGTTATTGGGTCCGGATTGAACAATTATTTTGGACTTTCAAAATTATTTTGGTGAAAATCTCGACTGTTTTTTCATCGAATTTCGGTTTGTTTGATTTCGTCTTCGGTTTTATCTGTTCTGTATACGTCGACCTTGCGTTACGTTTGACTATAGTATTTGATCATTGGGTCCGGATTGTAAAATTATTTTGGACTTTATTTGGTGAAAATTTCGACAGTTTTTTCATCGAATTTCGGTTCTTGAGAATGGTTCCTTTCGAGTGTGTCGGGTTGAGAGTCTGGATCGTGGGTGACGTGGATTTCTTGGAGAAAGAACGAATTTGGAATTTGGAATTTGGAATTTTGCGATGTTTCCTCAGTGTATAATAGCTCTCGCCATCTTTGAGAAAGAAGTATCATTGATTTTGTTTCTGACGATTGTTCGACGGAATGCTGATATTGGATCTGCCAACCTATAACGAGTGACTAAGTTATTACGCAGGAAAGATAATAATGGTAGTGATGCGATAGAGACAGATGACTATGGATAATTACGTTTTAATTTAGGTGAGATTTGATATTAATTTTGTTAAAAATTGATACGTGTTTTTAGAAACTGCGAGAAGAACATTCTCGAAACAAGTCATTTTGGTAAATCTAGTGTTATTTGGTAAAAAGTTACTATACAAAGGTTCCCTATGAAATTCTTCTTCCACGGCTGGAATTACCAGTTAACGGATTTCCAAGTATAGATTAATTATACCTAGTAAAATATCAGTCAGTCTAGTGTTATCTGGTAAAAAGTTACTATACGAATGTTTCCTATGAAATTCGTCTTTTACATTTCGAATTACGATTTTACTGAGTTCCAAGTATAAATTAATTACACCTACTAATCTAGTGTTATGTGGTAGAAAATAACTGCACAAATATTCCTTATAAAATTCAACGTTTTCAACATTTCAACTTACAATTTAGCGGATTTCTAGGTATAAATTAATTGCACCTACTGAAGTAACAATCAATCTAGTGTTATCTGATAAAAAGTAACTACACAAATACTCCCTAAAAAATACGTCTCCACATCTCAAATTACAATTTAACAGATTTCCAAGCGTAAACTAATTATACCTACTAACTTAGCGTTATGAGGTCAAAAGTAACTATACAAACCTTTCCTGTAAAATTCGTCTTTTACATTTCAAACTTCGATTTAACAGATTTCCAAGTATAAGTTAATTATACCTACTAAAATCTCAGCCAGTCTAGTGATATCTGATAAAAAGTTACTATACAAAAATTCCCTATAAAATTCATTTTCAACATTTCAAATTACGATTTAACGAATTTCCAAGTATACATTAATTACACCTATCAAAATATCAGTCAATCTAGTGTTATCTGGTAAAAAGTAACTACACAAATATTCCCTATAAAATTCGTTTCCAACATTTCAAATTACGATTTAACAAATTTCCAAGTATAAATTAATTACACCTATCAAAATATCAGTCAATCTAGTGTTATCCGGCAAAAAGTAACTACGCAAATATCCCCTATAAAATTCACCGTTCTCCACACTTACTAAAATATTACTAAAAAATTACTAAAATATCAGTCTGCGGGTCCACGTCTGTTTCCAGGGATGACGTACTATAACATGCCGGATTTTTAAGCTTCTCTAAAACCACTGACGTTGCCCCGACCTTGCATATCTATCTCACGAAGAGATATATTAATCGTATGCATACATTTAGCAGGAAACAGAACCTTATTAGCGCACATCAATGATCGATGTAAATATTTGTATATACACATTCTCAATGACGTTCAAGCAGAACAGACAAATTCTCAGAGTATAATCGCAGTCCCTGTCTTCGGGTGTCATCATATCCAAAACAGCTTTATCTTAACTTCTCTGAAATTCCAATTTCCAAATTTCTCAAAATCCCAATTCTCATAGTTTCATCTTCCGACTGTTCCATGAAAACGTTCCACTTCTCATCCTGTTATCATCGTTTTCATCGTCTCTGGAAATTATTTTAAGATGTCAGGGTTCTGTCAAAATCTATCTTAACTTCTCTGAAATTCCAATTTCCAAATTTCTCAAAATCCCAATTCTCATAGTTTCATCTTCCGACTGTTCCATGAAAACGTTCCACTTCTCATTCTGTTATCATCGTTTTCATCGTCTCTGGAAATTATTTTAAGATGTCAGGGTTCTGTCAAAATCTATCTTAACTTCTCTGAAATTCCAATTTCCAAATTTCTCAAAATCCCAATTCTCATAGTTTCATCTTCCGACTGTTCCATGAAAACGTTCCACTTCTCATCCTGTTATCATCGTTTTCATCGTCTCTGGAAATTATTTTAAGATGTCAGGGTTCTGTCAAAATAGGCTTCGTCACCGATTCGTCGACGTGTTAACACTTAGCTTACCACACGCCCCAGAGCTAACTATACGGTTCATAGTTATACTAACTATACCACGCTCGGGGAACACAAACTGCGCTGTCGGAACACAAACTGCATTTTTCGGAAATACCGAGTAAGGGGCCTTAAAAATTGGTGAATTTTATTATATGTCGTGCTTTATGGAAGCAGTTCGTCAGTGATTGCGAACAAATCCAAATGGAGGTGTTACCATAATTATACCACCGAATTACTTTAAAATGGGCAGATCTCCCCGATCGGTCGGCTAAGTGTTGAAAAATCGTCTTCTCTCAGGTAAATTCGTGTTCTCCGAGCTCGAAGGAAAGGCACGAGGTGTTTGCACAATCTGTTTAGTCATAGGTAGCTGCCAGATTTTTTAGTGGACAGCTGTTCTTATCGACGATTAAGAATCTCTCGGTGGCCTGGTCCCAGAAGCGCTCATTAAGAGGAAACACTGACGCATGTACGTTTACGTGGACACTTGTTTATACATATTTCAACGACGCGAAACCTCGCTGATCTACGCGATCGAGATTTCGGATGAAACGTCGTCTCGCTGTTTCCTTTGGCAATTTAATCCACGAACGAACCTCGAATCGATCGAATTATATTTTCCAGAACGTTGACCTCCCGATTCCAATCTCTGAATTATAGAAAATATATACAGTAGGTGTTTACACGAAAGTGTACGAATTTTATATAATATAAAATTATATAAAATTACAAAAATATGATTCAGGAATTATTATGCATTTTTAGGAAGTACTCTGAGTGAAAGATTCGAATTTTGACAGTATGTGCGCCCGTAAAGCATGACGAGTTACACATGCACGAATTTTTTCTATTTCTATATTTTATATATTTTAGGTGAAATTATTAGGAATGGTAGTGAAATCGTGATTAAAATTGCAGTTTAATTTTTGTTTATCTTTATTTTAACGTAGCTGTGTAATTTTTCAAAATAGAGCGAGGCTTTTTGAGTAGAAAGTGTCAAATTTTTAGTGCTCTGTTACCCCGTGATAAAAATTTCTGTTATTTTTGTGAGATTCTGTTTAAGAAATAGGAGAATCGTTGAAACTACGATCGTTGATTTTACCCTCTCAAAATTATTTTCTGTTGATGAACAATTATTTCCTGTCTGTAACTCGTTATGCTCTACGTGCACGCAAACTTTCATTAAAATCAGAATTTTTGAGGTGGAGAATTCCTTTGAAAGATAGCGTTTAAACAGTTTTGAAAGTTATGTACATGCTTGCAACCATAGGATTTTCTAATTTTTATAGACAGTTTCGAAAATTAATTATTTTTGGAACTGGATTATCTGGTGAGATTAATTACTCCAATACGTTTCATTTTGGTGTAAATGGCTTATTAAAATTCACGAGTAAATGTGCGTATCACCTGTAATTCGTGAAACGAGAAAATTGAAAAAGGGGTGTCAAAAGGTGACCAAATTTTTGGTTCCGAAGATTCGTGAATGCACCATTATTTAGTTCAAATAAGATTGGAAATTTATTTAAAAAGCTATCGTCAAAGAAAATTTCAGAGAATTGAAAATTCTTCGCTATAAATATTCTTAATTTTGAATTAAATACACGAATTTCGAAAATTCAACGGTATTTTATAGACAAAAATCGATTTATTTGTCGTGGATAAAAGAATTTGAGCTGTTCATTGCTGAATTAATTAACTCTGCAAGACGAAAAGGAGAAAATTAATTTATAAAAGTTATGGGTACATAAAAATTTTTGAAAATTCGGAGAATAGGGATAATAATTTTGTCTTGTGAATAACTCACGTGTATATTACGTATGATGTACAAGACAGGCAAAAAGGTAAGGAATATTTCGCTAATATATGATTGTAGTAGATTCTTTATTTATGGATTAAAAATTATTTCGATAAATATTATATTAATAATTATTATTAATTATTGTGATAAATATAAATATAAATAATATTATTGTGAAAACTGTTGTTTGAGAAAATTATGTTCTTTCAAGGATCAATAATTCTAATTAAAATCGAGTAATAATATCATAGAAAATTAATTTTATGGGCTTTATTGATTTCTCCATAAGGATGATCGAGTGTCAAATTGGAAAAGTAATTGTTTAAGATTAAGGATTGGATATAAACTATTAAACATCGTTTTATTTACATATTTGATCATTATGCAATAAGATGTCACACCAATTATCTATAGTTTTCATTACCCACAATGAAACACGATAATAAATATATTAATAATTAAACAATTTTTATATCAAAAGTATCATACATTACAATTTTAAACAGTAACAAATTTTCTAAAAACCTATATATTTTTTCAATTGAAGAATTAAACATCGTTTTATTTACATATTTGATCATTATGTAATA